ATAAGTAATCAATAAGCATATGAAAAGTGTAACATCATTAGTCATCAGGAAAATGCAAATGATATCAGGAAAAGCCATAATGATCTATCACTACATAGTCTTTATAGAATGGCCAAATTTAAAAAGATTGGCAAGTCCAAATTTTGCAAATATTAGAGTAACTGGAGTTTTCCTACATTGCTGGTGGGAATGGAAAATGGTATACATCCTTTGGAATACAGTTGGGCAGTTATTTATAAAGTTAAGCATTTACTTAGCATTTACCCAGCAATCCCAAATGTAAGTTCAAAAAAGGATTTGTAGAGTATGTTTATAGCAGCTTTATATATAAACAGCCCCAAACTGAAAACAGCCCAAATATCCATTAACAGAAGAATGAATAAACAAATTGTGGTATATCCATACAATGGAATACTACGTGGCAATAAAAATACTAATACATGAATGAATGTCAAAAACATATGTTATAATGAGAATCTATAATTACCGTAATAGAAATTTCAATTAAAAAACCATGTTAAGTAAAAGAAGTCAGACACAAAAGAGTCCATACTGTATTTCATTTATGTAAAGTTTTAGAAAACACAAAAGTAATTGATCTTGAAAAATGTCAGGACACTTCGAGCCCCAGAATGTGAGGGGTTGACTAGGAGTGGCATGAGGGAACTTTCTGGGAAATGGTGCTACTTCTTGATTGGGGTGTTGGTTATACAGGTCTATGCATTGTGCATTGTCAAAACTCATCAAACTGTACACTTGAAATTTGTACATTGTACTGTATATAAATTTAATTGAAAAGAAAAGAGAGACATTTACATCTTTCTCTAATTTGCAAGTTAGATTTTATTCTCATTATCTCCATAGAAGGCCCAGCTCTTTATGTGGGAAGCCTTCTAAAAGAAAACTATAAATTTGGAAGTCAATTTTTCTTCTTCCCTTTTTCCCCCCCCTTCCTTCTGAATACCACAGGAATGTGAGAGAAAGTGATGACCATTGCAAACAAAACTATAGCTGAACATTTGTATCAGAATGTTCTGTCACTTGGACCTTGGGCAGGCCTATAATTTGAGTGTGTGACTCTAGAAATGGTTGCTATGGTGATAAACCACTTTACTTAAATAGCATATACTTTACTCAAAATTCAGAGAAATGGTAACAGTTTCTAGTAATCATGCACTGGTATTCACTTTCAGGGCTATGCCTAGAGCTTCCAGGTTTTGCATCCATTATCTCCAGATGAGTTCATCAAGTTCAAGTTATGCCAGCGGATAATGAAATATGTATATTTAGCCCAGTTTTCTTGTTACATATCTCCCCTTCCACACATGGAGCCCCCTTTTAGAGGTTAGTAATGCGAGCTGGAGAAATCAGGCCAAGGGTACTGAATTACTAAACGATGGAACTGAAAGAAACCTTGTAAGGTCATCTTTTCCATTTTCTGCCTCCAGTAGGACTGACTATTCTTCAACAGCCCCAAATGGTAACACTGTCAAAGTGAGGAACAATCGGAGTGCTGCTTGGGGAAGCCCGGGTGTAATAACCATCCTGACTGCAGCACCCCAAATGCTGTCTAGCGCCAGTGCTGAGAGCTTCCCTTTCTTCATTTTATAGATTGTGATTGTATTTTTCCTCTAATTTTTTATATTTTTAGACTGAAGAACTCTCTTATAAAGAAACCTCCACCTATTAATCATATGAATCTCTATTCGTAAACTTTCTTTTGTCTTTTTATATCTGTTCAAGCTGTTGTACTGTTTCAGGTATGAATTCTTCATGATTTTATATAAGGGTAGAAGAATTTTTTTCTTTGACTTCTAAGATGTTTGCTGTTGATAACCAGGTTTTCTTGGTCACTGTGAAATAGTATGCCAGTATCTTTGGAGAATAGTCTACAATGATTTTTAGATCCACACTCTTGAATTGATTAATGATGGCCAACAGTCTCATAATGATTATTTAGTCTTTCTCCCTAGAACTGAATATTGAAATTCTTCTCTCATCTTCCTCTCCCTTTGTACAGTGTTATGAGAGTTCACCACCTTCTATTTGTCTTTCATGACTTGGAAGATCTTCTTAACTCCTATAACCTTGGCAATTTCACTTTTCATTTCTCTGTCTATTACTCATAAAACTTTCAAATTGCATCAGTGACAGCATAGCGCTCTGAGGAATCCTATCAACTATGAGAAAAGAAAAAGAGAAACTAAAATTTAGATAATCTATAACCTAAAATCTCTATCACTGAAAAATTGAGATTTGTTCATGTTCCTAGAGAAAAGCCTGGCAGCTAGAATTTTCCGTGGCTGTTTCTGTTCCAAGGAGATGAAAGACTTGGCTCTTAGTGAAGAAAGTTACAGCGCTGCCTAAAAGGCCCCATGACAGCCCTCCTGTGTCCATGTTTTGTTAGCGTCAGGGAACGGTTTCCATGAGGGGACATTTAAGAGGGGAGACTCAGGCTTTAGGAAAGCTCTTATGATTCTGATTCCTAAACTTAGTGAAACTGCAAATTAGGAGAGAGAAATGGTAAAGTACACACATGTATAGTATTTTACAAGGTGCACATATATGCACAGAGCCTGTAAGCATTTGCAATAAACATTTGCATAAAGGTAACCCTAACGCTGTGCCTAACCCTAAACCTGTCCCTAAACCTAACCCTAATCCTAACCCTAATCCTAAGCCTAACCCTAACCCTGGCCCTAACACTAACCCTGTCATTAACCCTAACCCTAACCCAACCCTGTCCCTAACTCTAAACCTAATCCTAACCCTAACCTAACCGTGTCCCTAACCCTAACCCTAACCCTAATGCTGTCCCTAACCCTAACCAAAAAAAAAAAGAAAAAAATTTTTTTTCGTAAAGGTATTGGGTTGTCAGAAAAGTCATCACACATTTTTGCGACGAAAAACATAGAAAAAATATGTCATGACTTTTCTGACAACCCAATAGATTTGCATTGATGTTACCAGGGAGTAAAGGAAAAAATGTTGGGATTTGTTTCAGTGCAGCCAGTTTTAGGCCGATTTTGGAGCTCAGATAGAATATGGTTGACAATACTTGTTTTAACATGTATTAAATACCAGTTTGAAAACAAATAACAAAAACAGGCACTTCTATGTTGCTGGTAAGAGCAAAAGTTTAACGTGTGCAAGTACACTAATTAACAAATGGAAGAGTTTAGAAGAATGGAAACATTAAACCAGATAGGAATATGAATGCATTAAAAAGAAAATGACTGAGTCTTATTCCTATTCTATATAATATTTGCTGTAGTGGACATGCTGAAAGACATTTCCTCAGTGATTTGGATGATAAGAGGTGGAAATGTCAAAAGAGAGAGGCTTACACTTAGATTCACCTTTTAATAGGATTTATATGTCAAGTGAATTAAGCATTTATGAATTGAAACTTCCAAGATTGGTTTCATGTCTTCGGGACCAGGACTGTACTAAACAAAGCAACTTAGCTTCAGCCAGATACTAGAACATCTGAGCATTGTACTGTCTCTCTCTGTTGCTGCACAGAAGGAGTTTTCAGTGTTGCAGCCTGTTTTACTGAATGCTAATGCACTTCAAGTCTTTCTGTTTCTTGAAATTACACAGAGAAACAACCCAGAAATTTTCTTGGGGGAAAAAAAAATCTATGGAGAAAAGGGCCTGTTTACATTTCCAAATTTATACAAATTAATTTTTCATTGTACAAAATTACCAGCTCGAAAATTAGTCTACACCCTTATAAAGTCACACATGCATGATGTTCTGAAGAGGCACATATTTAAGGACTGTCTGCAATATGCAAACAGCAGGTAAATGTTCTCTTTCTTGAAATACAGGTACCCCCAAATCGCTTAATGACCTGAAGTTTTGCTTCAGCCCCAGGAAGCCATTTATTCACTGGACAAATAAATATATATTAAGTGCGACTACTGTGTATAAAACATGGTCACTTGTATCACAAAAGCCTGAATGATCAGAGAAACACCAGGTTTATTAGTTTGTGTTACGTGTAATCTTTTCACATTCTTTGAAGATTGCTAACCTGATTATTAGCTCACATGTATGCTAACTTTCAGTTAACCAGAGTATTAAGCCTATGAGCCCTTTCCCAGATTACTCTGTGTGAATGAGAACTTGCTGTGTCTATACCCCCCTGTCTTGTCCCCCACGCTGCTTTGTGTAGGTCCTGAGACAGTCTCTGCTCTTTTAGAGCTCTATGCTCTGCTTAATTTAACTAGAAGTGATCACTTTTAAGATGGGTCTAAGGTCAAAATAGACTCTGCTTCCCTCGTGACAGGATTAGAGACCATTTCCCTACTGTGAGGTGAGGTGACCCGAGAATATACAATTGTTTGTATTTGTGCTACTTGTTTTTGTGCTTTAAAGCTCACAAAGTCCTTTCATGGCCACCACCTCAGTTCATTCTCATAGGAAACCCATGTAGCACATGTGAAAGGACCACTTCCCCATTTAACAGTGAGGCCTCAAGACTCCTCGAGGCCTTTAGGCCTGCCCATGTGGTGTGACTGGGATTAGAAGCCGGTGCCTGGAATCAACGCAGAGAATGTAAGGAGTGGGCCCCATGAAACAACTTGGTCCCCAGGTTAGAAAGAACAATCATGATGTACTTGGCAGGGTATCCATATAGATGTCAAAACTTGTCTAGGAATCTGTATAGGTACTATGCATACAGTTACATCCAAGGGGACGTCCCTATGCAAATGTTACCAGACATTTACTTTCATTTCGCCTGGCAGAGGATCTGAAATTGTACCTCGAGTTTGCTCTACACCAAACACTGAACAATTCCATTTTCTTGAAGGTACTAAAGGAGCTTCCTTTGGCATTTAATAAATAGCACGTTGACAATGTGATTAGTTTATATCTCACATCCTAAAGAGTGCTCGACTTACAAATCCTGGACAATTTCGTAGTCCCTTGCTTCTTTGAATTGATGTAAATTGCTTTGTATCTGAAAATTAATCCAGGTCTTTTATTTCTAGCCCACTGCTTATAAAAAGAAAGTTCCTGTGACCGGTAAGAAGGAAAATATGGACAACGTGGACATGGGCTGTTCAAATTCCGCATCTGGCAGACTCCTACCAGCCGAAATCAAGGGAGAAATAGAGAAGTCCCTTGTGACTTCCAGCCGAGGGGCGACCACCAAAGACACTGCTAAGCCCCTTGCGCTATCTAGAACCAAAAAGAAACTCTAAGATTCCCTCCAGTGCTGAATAATACAAAAACAGAGCTGCACTTTGTAGTGCTAAAAGGAGAGAATAGGAGGGGAAAAGGACAGTCCGATGCCTAGCTTTTAGCATTTTAGCTCCACTGAGCCCTGCGGTGTGTTTGCACCAGCTTAGAATTGAAGCCGGTTATCTCCACGCTGCGTGGTGTTCAAGGACAGCCACCAGCAGGGTTGATGGCGGGCTGGGGCTGACGTCAACTCGAGATGTTTTCAAATGTTGTTTAGAGCAGCAGGTGCCCTCGGAGTGAGGCTGCGGGCATACTTGCTCAGTTTTACTTCACATTCTTAAATTTAGGCACAGTTTTTATAGGGGAGCGTGACAGCCAAATGTGGTCATGGAGGTTCCTAATAATTAGGTGCAGTTTGTGCTAGAAGACTTCGTTAGGAAATTACTAAGAAATTTACCATGGGCACAACAGCACAAGTGCTTCGGCCATTCACACGTGTTCTTGTGATTGTAGGTTGCTATCGGATTGTTTAAGACAATTTATTTTAAATGTAGAAAAATAGGAGATTTTGTAACTGCTTGCCATTAACTTGCTGCTAAATTCCCAATGTATTGATTGAATCAATAAAAGACAGATGTTACCCATGCACATTAATTTTTATGTTAACAAGAAGTGACTATAATAAGGTCCTCTAAGCCCCTCTGCAAATTACGAGCTTGGCTGGCTGCTGCGAAGGGAGGGACACACATCTTTGGGGAAGGTCATGAGGTGCGATACAGGGGAAAACACATCATCACTCTTAGTATTGGAGGTATCTTCTTCCACCTAGGCAAATAATTTTGCCATCCCAGGTCAAACTGGGTGGATAGATGCTTCGCTTGGCCTTCCAAACAAATTCCAAAAGAGTAGTTTGCATTTGCTGTTACCTTTATAGAGTCACCTAGTTTCATCCCAACCCTCCCTGCATGGGATTGTCCTTTAGGCCTCCATAATGACCCACACCTGGCCAGCTGAGCATGTACTGGTTGCACATAAATTCGCTCAGTGGCTAACGGTAGTAGATACGCCTCTGCAATTAATTTGAAAGACGCAGTTGTGCTTCTGAATGCGTAACACTGATCTGTGTTACCCCTGGCTCAGTGGTTCTGCCGGCATTTTCTTAGTGCCTTCATTGTGCTTCGCCTGGAGGAATCTGCCAGCCAAGGCGTAGATTGTCTAGACTTAATTTTAAAACTGGAGTTGACATAGCTTCTTCAAGTCTCTCTGCCTTACTAATTATCACTTCCAGACCCGTTAGGAGCCCGTAAACCATCTCCCAAGCTTTAAGCCTTCTCTCCGGGTGTAAGGGGCCAGTCTGGGAGGAGCATATGCTGTGTCCTGGCCTCATTAGTTCTGGGGTGTCCTTTCCCCACTGGTTCTCCTGTTGGCAAAGGGGAGAGCTGGCTGCTGGTCTCTGCAGAAAAGCCAATCAAGATGGTGGTTTTGATTCTGTTCCTCTCCTGGCCTGGAAAATGGAATATTCTGTGTATTCAAAATGTTCTTACTTGCATAGTATCATACAATCTTTTGTATCACAGAGAATTCTGTTGTAAAATTGAGTGCTATTCCAATTTCTATCCACATTTCTCTTTGGTCTTAAATTAGTGATTCCGCTCAGTAAGCTTGAGCAGAGGTCCAGAACTAAGCTCTTAAGTGAAAGGTGAAGTCATGTTCTAACCTTTTAGTGTATCTGCACCTTTTCCCACCCAGCACCAGGCCAGTCCAACCATCCTCCTACTGTAAAGATGTGTACAATTGGGCCTTCATTTTATTGAAGTACAACCATTTTGACACAAACTTAGCTCAGTCTTTCTAAAGGGAATTTTCGTATTATTTTTATTTATTTGTGTGAAACAAACTTGGGCCAGGCTATGTCTGAGCTTGGTTTTCCAACCGTTTGTACCTCTTTCATATTTGGGGGTATATGGCCTTGCTTTCTCCTTTTGCTTTCATGGCTGTGAAAAAAAGCAGCTCTTCTGTTTCAGGATGGTTTTTGGTGATTGACAGGCCAACTCCAAGGTATTGGTAACTGGCAACAATCCCTGACACCTGCATTACGGCATGGAGGGCAGGGCTTTGTGTGACCCCGAGGGACACACTCTCCCTAGGACAGTGCTATTTACAGGTGTTATTTACAGGAAATGCAAATGCTGATCCACATTCCAACTTAAAAATAACAGACAAGTTAAGGCAGGAGGGATATGATGCAAGATAAATGCAGGCTTGGGGGTGGGGAGAAGTTAGGCTGAGGACAAGAAGAAGATGCTATCAGAGAAGGGCTTAAATCAGAGAAGAAAGGAAAATGGGTTGGGAGTGGGGGGGGGGACAAAAAGAAGACGTGCGAGTAATGAATAAAGAACACTGACTGGATGACAGCCTGTGGTTCCGCCAGACCTGGAAGCAGGAGTCGGAGGAGGGCGGCACAGCCCCACCACAGCACGTTGCTCCAGGCCAGCTAGGTAGGACTGGGCCCTCCCCTGGCCTGGGCACAAGCACACCCAGTCGAAGACACAGGCTGAAGAAACAAAGGCCCGGGGGGAATGGGAGCTGAGAGAGGCTGTGATTTTTAGAGTTGGCCACAGAACAGTCCTTACATTTTGAGGAGAAGTGTTATGTGGTGTCGGGAGGAGGAAAGGAGGAAAAAAAAAAAAATCAAAACATTTTGAGCTTATCACTGAAACGCTTTGTTTAAATAATTCTATTTGACTCCAAAATGTAAGTTCCAGGTTGGACAAATCAAAAGCAGCAAGTCTGGAAAATGAAGCTTTTTAAATTCCAGCCTGCTGTTGGAATAGAGAATAAAGGCTTTGTTCAAACATGCGTTCCCAGCAGTAAGCAGAGCTTTGAAATTGGCCAGGGAAGTTGTGTCCCATAAAGGGCTGCACTTGGCTGGAGACCAAGAAGCTGTGGCCTCTGGGAAATGACCCTGGGCTGAATACCTTCCATCTGCCGCTTCCAGAACCACTGTGCCCTGCTCCGTCCGCTCCGCCCAGAGAGGCTGATCTCTAGGGACAGCAGTAACAGGCCCCCTGGCCTCTGGGTTTGCTGGGATTCTGTCAGTGGGAGTCACCAACAGGCAACCAGAGGGCGGGAAAGCCAGGTCCAGGCATCAGTTCCCTCAGCGCCTTTATGCTGGGCTGCTGGGAATACACTGCATTTCCCTTCTGTAGGCCTCTCTCCCAGCTGTGTCTCCTGCCCCTTCGGGCCAAGATCAGGGGCTATTGCCCTGGGGTACTGTGTCATCCTTTGTGCGTTTCCCTAAACTCTCTTGGTACCATTTGTTAAACTCTCAACTACCCCATTTGAGTGTACCATCTGGCTCCTCCTGGGAATTAAAAGGATCCAGACCCTTTCCTTGTCAGTTTTGCATTGTTCTTGATCTGGGGCAGTTTTGTCTGTGGTTGCCAGTCTTCTTCCAAATGCCGGTAAAGTGAGAGAAAGCCTAAATGAGTTCTTCCTGAAACAAACTGATGGTCACTAGGGGTTGAGGAAAGGGATAGCAGGGATGTTCCTGGGGTTGGAACCAAGACTGAGCAAGAGAAATTACCACTGCCCAACTGAGTCCGAGAGTGTCTAGACCCAGGAGGTTTGCATTTAGGTCTTAAATTCATACCATGGCCTTTGGGAGCCCAAAGAAAGCAACATGTGACTTGTAACAGCCAAGAGGACCTATGGCCTGGGATGAGCTGTCCTCGCTGTTTCCTGGCTGTGGACTTGAGGGCATGGCAGAGGCTTCCAGGGGACCTGTAGCACCAGCACAAACAACCTGAAGCTGTGTCCCTGGGCTGTGCATTTGTTTAATCTCCGCAGGCGCTAAAATCAACTTACAAAGCATTTTAAAGTAAAAATTTCACTATTCAGAGGCCTCACTGTAGTTCAGTTTTACTCTTCAGGACCCTGTATTTTTCTGAGTGAGCTGGCTTTCGAATTGGTTTTGATTTCTGTTCAGTACATCGTTATCACTTAATTCTCATTGGTGAGCCAATTTTCTTTGCCTTTGTTCTTCAAAGGAAGGCCATATTCAGTGTCTGTCTTGCATCTTTGTGGCTGCCTTCCTCAGTTGCTAGTATAATTAACTCAACTCTGTTCTCTCTCTGTCAGTTCTCCACATTTCCCTAAATTATCTGGAGCAGTTCTCAGCAGGAGTGGTGGGGATTCCCACCACTGGCCCAGTGACCTCACTTTAAACAGCCACACACACGTGACAGTGGGACATTGGGAAGATTAATAGGGCCGTTGCTGTGTCACCACTGGCTATCTTAGAGACTTTCCCTTTCGGTGGCCTGGTGCCATCTCAGATATCTTAGGTGGACCCAGAGAACACAGAGTGATGACCTCAGAGGACGTCCTCTCTGTGCAGTGTTCCTGGCCTGGCCCAGAAGACAGAGTCACAGATGCCGTGCGGCCCTCTCCTGCTAGTACAGACTTCTCCTAACTGGATTCTGTGGCCTCTCCAGATCGCACATATCCTTGGCATTGATACAGAGGTTCTATAAATTTTGCCGCCCTTGGGGGACTGAGACACAATCTTGGACCCTTTCACCCCATGTGTCTCTGAAGACAAGATCCTGACACCAAGCTGTTTAGGACAGACTTCTCATCAGCACAGAAAGTTGTCTCCATCCTGGGACAATTGCATGGTCCTCGGAACCAGCATTTCCAGTCTGACCCCGGGGCAGGGCAGGTGGAAGATGTGGAATAACTGACACCTTCCCCAGACCCCAAAGAAGAAGGCCTGTGTGGAGGTGGCAACCAGTGTTTCCTGATCCAGGCACTAGTTTACATTGAGTTGACTAGCAATTGAAGTCCCCTGGTAAACTGGACTTTGAGCTATATTCGTGGGAGGGGTATGCCTTTTAACTAAAGCCCTTCTTCAGAGTCATTATAAAATAATAGCAATATTTCCAGAGTACTTACCACATGCCAGACACCATTTTAAGCATTTTACGTGTATTCTTTCAATCCTGTCAACAACCTATGAAGTTACTACTATTATGTCTTCAGAGGAATAAATTAAGGCATAGAAAAGTTAAGAAACATGTCCAAGGCAACTAAGAAGCAGCAGAACCAAGATCCAAACCCAGCCACGGTGTGTCACTGTTATACTACGTGCCTCTCAGGGCCTTTGTATTATAGTTGAGGCCTGAGACTGCTGTAAAGTTTGATCTCAGAGTTCCAAAGGCCAGGGGGCTTGCAAACACCTCTGTCTCCCAGCAAAAGCCTACAGTGGTAGCTTTGGCAAGTTTGGGGCTGAAGGTTTCAGAACGGAGTAGGATGATTTTGCATATTGACAAACTTGAGTCAGACCAAACCACACCATACCAGGGAGAGCTGAATCCTGCAGGACTTTGCAGGATAACAATAATTTCTAAACGCTCTAACTGACCACTGTCAGTAGTAGTCTTTAGAAGCCTTTGAATATGTTTTTGACCAGAGAGAGGACACATTGCCTCCCCAGGTTTGGACAGACCTGCCTGTATAGACGTGACAGATTGATGCTTACCAGGAGCCGAGGGCCGTAATTCCCATCACAGGGTGGTGGGGTTAGGAGTCACTATAATATTTCGATTTCCCATAATTCTTCATCAGGCGGCATGTGTACCTGTACCACAGAAAATATGGA